CTCTGGTACGCACAACTGGACAAAAGATGGTTCGGCGTTAGGAAATAGCTGCATGTTAACAAACAATACAACAATATATGATCCATTAGAAAGGATCGCGCTCCTCTGTTAAAATACGTTATCCGGTCGAGATACGCTGGTGAAAAATGAGGCCAACCATTGCCGGCACGCTGTCGCCTAGCTTTGAGACTTGCCGTAATTGCTAGACACGTGTCTACATGTGACTTTTATTATGAAGCTTCAAATATGCAGCTGAATATAACCGACAGCACCGTCATCACCACTGAAACGCATAACCATCCCATAATCAACCACATTAACAATCTAACCAACAAAGGACTTCTTTCTGGGCCTCATCACAATCTTCGTTCAGGTCGAAGTATTGCAACCCATCTTCACTTCAGAAATCATGTCGACTACATCCGAGCTAGTAAGATAGCCAAACCTGATGCGATCCAACTGATCATACAACAGATCATAACAATATTCCAGCTGGAGACTGCAAGGACACATCTTGCAAGGGAAGTCCCCGATGCAAAACCGAAAAACCGCTATCCGCCCCCTAACAGATTTCCCGACACCGACCCACACGAGCTGTGGTTTTGAAACAACCATTGTCAAAAACCTAAAAACGCCTCGGTTTCGCTTCTGAAACAGGTCAAGTCTCACAGGCCTACAACGGGGCAGCATGTACTCCAGCTCGATACGCACGTTATGCGATATTCACGGATAAACCGCTTTGACGTTAAAGGTGTTTCGAATCAGGAAATGGAACTGATCCCTACAGTTTCGTGTACTGATTTTATGTGTCATATTACGGTCAAAACTAACACACATTTCAAAATCTACAAGAAGTTGCAATGCACCACCTTCAACGGTCGAAAGGTATCTTCGAGTGACGCGTAAAACCAGAACCTCCGGGTAGGCAAAACAAAGTCGGAGCTGGGTTTCTATACGGTACTATTAGGGTAAGAGTAATTCACAAATTATACAAACCTCAACAGTGGATAGGCGTCCAAAACAAACAGTCCGCTTGGACTACAAAAGTACAAAGCAAGGGAGCAAACGGGCTCCCACGTGCGACAGCCACACGTGCAAAGTCAGATACAAATGGTCGGATGACCTCAAGGACAAGTGGGTGAAGTGGTAAGGACAAACAAGCGTCAGTTTATATACACACACTAAACACAAAAGTTGGGCGGGGGTTACAAATGGGACAGAATAAACGTGGGGAATTTCATTGTCAACGTAACGGATGATACACCACCTCTCGGCGTGTTTATACGGGCTCGCTCTAGATTTCTTCTACTACAATAGCATATATTAGCGAAATCAGTCCGTGCTTGACCGCTAGCCTGCTAAGTACAAATCCACGCCTATCTTGTCTCAGTTGATCACTTGTTGTCGTCACCCAAGTTGCGGTGAGCCTTCAGCTTTTTGGTTTCAATAATGCACTCTATCCTTTCGAATGTCTCCTTAGTCTCACCGAGATTTATTGATCCCATCCCATTTCCAGGCTTCGGCCTTCGGCAACATATGCTTTAAACGTCCTGTTTGCATGTTATCCACTCCACCTGGTCTGCGATTTACACATAGAGCGACCTTTAACCAGACCAGAAAAATACCTGCTATCGTACCTGCTATTTACCTTTGCGAATTCCATCGGCCGACCAAAAATATCCCGCTCCCGGCAGAATTGCACATCCCAGCCCAATCACTCCAAAAATGATGTCTATTACGGCGCTGTTTAGAAACAAAATTATTTCAGTGCGATGGTGCCATGGCACTGCTGTACCAATTTTGAAGTCACACCCACAACTATCTCTTTATTCTCATGACTGTAACCTATCGCCCACTTGCTCCATTACCTGAAGATACGACCAAACTCATGCTTCATTCTGATCATAACCGTATGATCATGCCAAACGGTATACCACTCACAAATTGGAAACAAACATTTTTTATTATATCCCTACACTTTGTGGGTACTAAGTGCACACTAAAGGACGGGATGATAGGTCAATTCATTCCAACAGTTTCACAAAATACAAGAAACATAGCGCCACAGAGGCAACATGTTTGCAAAGCTCCCTGCTCTTCTTTAGGCGGTACCATTCTGGGGTCAACAAACACGCGAAAACAGCAAACAGCTCTGGTTTTGTGTCTCTGCGAGCCATAATATACCTTAGTTTTGCACAGTCCAGCCAACGCAAGCCCCATAATCATATACTTCCACATCATTTCGCATCGACTGCATATTCATTATCTCAACCTGAATATCGATTGTCGTTTTTTAAATCGGGAAGTCTCGCCTCAACAGGGTAGTCAAGAATTGCGACAACTTTTGCCTCTCTGTTATTTTGGGTGGCATTCTAATTTAGGTCAAAGTGCTTTCTAGCAGACCTCTTTGGCACTTTTTCTTATTTTGTGTCCTCAATGTAGACCCGGTCGTCTTATTGCCTCCTTTGATTGGCGTCAATGAACCACCATGAACCTCCGGTGGATCCAAGAATATCCCAACTACAATGACAACTGAACGACTCATCCATGATATTCATGTACAGGGCTGCCCATGAACTCATGTACGGTGTCTAAATGACGCTACTGGGACTACCATACCTAGTCTGATAGTTTGCCCGTGGTTTACCATACCTCCAGTATCTCCCAGACGAAATTTTGTGGCGTACGCCCACGAGACCGTCTCATGTTCCGGGACCTGAAAGCAGCGGCCATCTTGTTTTGCCATCTGCCGATTCAGCCCACAACCCTAATAGTGCATCCAACGGCTGGGTATATCAACGAAGATGAAACATCGCTTTGCGCTGGATATAGCGTAATAACAACATTTATTCCCAACTTGTGGGTAGCATACCGTTGGACACGATCATGATGTTGCAGTCAGAATAAAAACATGAATAGCGGGGATAGTGGGCACAGGATGGTTTAGGAAAAGGGACAGCGTCATAGAGGGTGGGCATTATCCGATCTAGGCGTGGTCACTATTAAACCGGTAGGGGCAGAGAAGCACAGATACCATGTTTTTGGATATAACATCGAGCAAGATCGAATCGGTAGGATTTGAAGGCGGTGGGCAAAAAGCAAAGCGATGGAGGATAAACAGGGGGCTTCCTGCCTGACACGTGACAGGAAAGGAACAGTGAAAACTGAAGAACCAGAAGATCACATCCGGTGGGGCAGCAAAGATGGCGTCATCCAGACGGTCATAATAAACTAAAACCTAATACCACCGTTTAAGCCTCGTGGCCTTGGACTATTGGGCTCAGTGCCATGGTAGCCAAAAATGTAATTGGCAGTGACCAGGTGGAGGGCTTAGCAAAGCGGATAGGTGGTAAAAGGAATAACAGAAACATAGTGTACAGCCAAACTGTAGAGACACACCGGTGTCACTGTTTTGGAGCCGGGCATAATAGGTCTTTGGAGGAGGGAGATGATGAAACACGCA